TTCACTGACAATACTTACTAAAGATAATTTTAAGCGTGAAAACTGTCCATATTTTGATGTCATGATATGTAAATTAAAAATTGTTATTTTATGGTGATAATCTTGTTTTCTTGTGCCCAATAATGCATAATTTCATTTGATAAACACGTTTAGATTGAATGGTAATTTATAATCAGTCACAAGAACGTCAAATCTGAATCACTTGAAAAAAACACGGGGGTGCTTAACTTTTTTCCAGGTGTATATTATTTGTAATATATGGGGAAGCAATTTTAGCAGAATATTGTCTGTGCCATTTTAATAATGATGAACACTGTGAATGACTGAAAGTACAAGTGGAACAGTCTTCTGTATTATCTTACCTAGTCTACAATTCTTGAATAAACTGATTACATGAGTTCGTGTTGGATATAACTTTTTACACCTACATAAATCATTGTCTTTTGGGGGAAATGTGATAGGTGTGAATGTAGGTGTTATAACATGTAAAACCTGTAATGTTGGTTCTGGCATGTGGTATAAATTTTACTGATATTGTTTTGCTCTCTTAATACTATATAAACTATATAACTATATATATACTATATAACTTTAATACTATATAAACAAGTATGTGGAAAAGTTACAGTTTACTCACTTGTCATTTAACCATTTCCCTTAATGATTTGTTGTAGGTAAGTATGTTTCGATTACCTCAATCCAACCTTAGCTCCAAAGAGATAAGTCAGTCTGCAGTTGGAGTCAGTATTGCTGTAGAAAGAATTGTTGGAGCTCTGACAGAAGATGAACAGGTAAGGATTTCTTTTTAGCTTTGTTTTCATTTTATACTTTTGGTTTGCTTGTTTGTTTTTCAACACACCATAATGTAACATATTTTAATAAAATTTACAGCAAGAGTTAATTAAAATAAACTATTACTGTTAAAAATGTTTTGGGAAAATCAGTTCCCCAAGATGTTTCAGATATTAAATTTTTTTGCTACTCTTATTTCTTGTTTAATTATTCACGATATTAACATTAACTGTGGAAGTTGTCATATTTTATTATTTATGGTTTTCATTTCATAATATTTTAAATTTCTTCCTTCAGTTGGCGCTGCTTTTAAATATTTTAATCCTAAATTACTGTTTGTGAAATTTCTTCACCATACAGCTTAAGTCATGCATATTCCAGTCATGTTTGTATAAGGTAGTTTGATAAAAGCTATTCAGGCTCATATTGTTCAGTTGTCTCTCACATTTGTTATTAGAATAAGAAGTATTGCACAGAAAAGTACATGATCTGTCTAGTTATACAAAAATTTCTAGTAACAAAAGTACTATTAAATTATAAATTATTAAATTTATATGTTATACAAATTTTTCAAAGCAAATGGCATCTTGTAAAATCAACCCTGCCTGGACCACAGAAGACCATTCAGGTGTCAGGTGCACACCTGCATATCAAATTTCATAATTCTAACTATTTCAACAATTTTTAATTAAAAATTTTTTCAGAATTTTTAGTTTGTCATTTGGTAACATTTATTTAGTATAATTTGTAAATAAAAATGAAAAACAAAATGTTCAAACCATCATTTCTGCACAGGTCTAAGGAATTTTGTCTGAGCAACTCATTTATCAATTTCAAAAAATTTTTTCTGGCTATTCCAAAGTATATGTTTATATTTTCTAAGAGTATAAGTTTACTTTTCTCGTTTCTTGCATAATGTTCCTTCTCCTTTAGTGGTTTCATTTATAATATTACAGCCCTTTGTTGCCACCACCCCTTTTATTAGATATACATTAATATAGACCAAGAACACATTAGTCAAAATTACAATATGTAGCCTGAGAAAGGTAATAATCTTGCCATTTTGAAGACTATATCTTAGGTTACTGAAAACGTCTTTGTCAGTTTTTACTGTGTTTTTTACTATTTATAGCTGGAAATGATGGCTATTTTAGTTGTCAAAGTATCAAAAGAAATGTGTTAATGATTATCAATAAGTGTGTATGTAAATGTGGTATCTCATTTACTAAAAACTTGAAAAAATTATAAACAGCTGAAAATGGGTTTGAAAAAAATAAAAACCAAAATAAACACTGCAATCCAACATTTTTCCACCATTATCATCACTTTAATGGTGGAAAAATGCTGTAATGTTGTGTGCTTTTTGATCCCATGCTTAGCAATGTACACTGAGTGGTCACAAGTAAATAGACACCTAATTTTTGTCATTTAACTGATTTATGCTAACTAATTTGTGTTCACAGAG